GTCCTGCCGCGGGACGACGAGCCCGAGGTGCTGGAGTTGAGGGCTGGCATCTGCTGCAGGCTCACCGGGGCGATGGTCTGCACCATCTCCCTGTCGTGCTTCACGATCTGCTTCAAGATCTCGTTCTCTTGGTTGTTGAAAACGCCGGTGTTGAGGTCCTTCTGGAACTTCTGCAGCAGGATCGAGTTCTTCTTACCTTCACAGAGAGGGAGAAGAGTTAGTGAGCCCGAGGCGCCGGGGCAGAGCCCCTCTCTGGCTTCGTGTTTCAGCACCCATCGCTGAGGAGTGTCTGCTGTAAAAGCCTCGGCAGGCCCCGGGGGGCTGAGCGGGCACGGCTCGGCCGGCAGCCCACGGCAGGAGGGGCCTGTGCCGCGCTGGCACGGCCGCAGCTCCCCACAGCCCTCTCCCACAGGCCTTCCAGCACCGCCGCACTCCGACACACCTGACCTTTCTCTGCCTCTTCACCTGCAGTTTACTGTTATTACTACAATTACATGTAAGAACTGTAATTTCCTGAGCTACTGTCAGAAAAAGTCATCGTGCTCTGCATCTGCATCATCTTTCTCATTGCAAAACTGGCTGAATTTCCGCTAAACAGTTACATAAAAGTACACCTGCCATTTAGTATGTTTCTGGGAACTAGTTACTAGGCATCAGCAACCAGTGCTTTTAAGTGTTTGTGAACTAATATGAACTCATGGATAATGTGACACCTGCCTCCACAGTGAAGACTGCTGTACACTGTGACCTGATGTCTGCTTGATGGCTCACAGTGTCTGTAAGATGTAGACGCTATTCTGTCTGAGTCATCAGATGCTCAGGAACACAATAGCACTCAACTGCTCTTTTTTTGTTGGTTTTGGGCTTTTTTCCCATAAAACACTGCACTTCAGATGGGATTGCTGCTCCAAGAACAGGAGGTTTACTGCTAATAGTTTTCAAGCACATATTACTTAGAGTTGGACTGCATTTCCAGAGAATCTTGCGAGACAAATTGTATGGGTTTTATGCATTGAGTTGATATGGAGAAATCCACACTGAATTCTTGAATTTTTGTTGAGGAAGCACCACCAAACAGGAGAAGTTTGCTGTTGCTTTTTGGTTTTTTTACAGCTGTGTTTTAAAATCAGTGTCAGTAATGACAATCAGAGTACAGTTCTTCTGATTGGAAACTTTATGCTTTGCCTAGTATGTCCTGTTGGGAGGTCCCAAATACTGGAACAGCAAGTTTACACCTATTGTTTTGATAATCTGCCATACCCTTCTGCCTTCCACTTGCATATTACTGGATTGCTTTTCTGATTGCAGGCAGATCTGAGCGGTGCCAGTGTGCAGCCATCAAGGCTAGCAGTGCCCATGTTGTGAGGAAAATGAGAGCCCTGCTGCAAAGGATTAATTCACTTCAACAAACAACGGGTTTGTGAGTGCTGAGAGGCTTCAGCTCTTCCCAGCATTATAGATGTCATCTCTAAGCAATTTATTTAAGAAAATGTCATCTACTGCTCATGACACAGCATAAATCCTATCAAGTGCTGAAGGCAGCAAAAGAAATCTACAGGATTAATAAATAATACTAGTGATAATTAAAGTATGAAAAATAATCCTCAGAGGAGTACAAGAGCTTTCTAAAACTCGGTGGTTTTTATTATTTAAAAGTGAGATTGCAAAATTCTTGCCTGCACACATGTGTTATTTATAGATCAAGAAAACATTTACTGCAGCATAACAGAAGAAAACTTTTAAAGAGGGGTATTTTATCATGCAGCTCAAAGGAAAGAAAATGCAGAAGGATTTTAAGAATTAATCATATGCAACAAAATGAAATATATACCTATCCTGTCAAGTCTATCAATTGCCACCGTTTCAAAGGCTCTTCTCATCATGGGGTATTCTTCCAGGACCTCGTTGAAGTTGTCCACTGAGAGGGAGTACAGGCGACAGTACGTGTCTGCTCGTACACTGGCAGTTCGACGGCCCTTGGTCAAAAGGCAGATCTCTGGGGAGAGAAAAATTCAGCACACACTGAAAACAGAAGTTACTGAACCCTTTGAAACTTTAAAGTTAGGAATTGACACCGTGCTAACAAGTAATAATTTAGTACTCAGCAGCAATTTTTCTATTTGTTTACATAAGGTTGCCGGGACAATTCTGAAGGTATTTTATTCTATTTTTGGTACTCTGAAAAAATAATTTATGTCCTTTAAGAGCCCTGCCTATAGGTTTTCTCCATATGAACTCTATCAAGGCTTTTTAAAATAGTGCTTCAAGTTCTAAGAAATGATCCATCAGCTGTCAAACACAGCTTGATGACTTTGATTAACCCAAGTGCTGAATTAACCCAAGTGATTGATTTTCTATTGATTTTCTTTTAAATATACAGCTGCCATAGAGGACCAGTCCCTTTAACCATTCACCAGATTTATAAAACTAATGCAATACATGATATAATGATGTAATAATACTTGAATATAAGAGCTGTTCTGAGAAAAAACTTGCAACATGAACATGCCTTCTGTTTCCTTGGTGTTTATGTCCTAGTACTTTGGGAGAGAAAACTTAAAATTTTTATCTTTATTCTCATTAGATTAAAAAATGGAGTTCATATGATTAGTCTAGTAGCCTTTCTCTGCAAGTGCCTGCAACTGGAACAGTGGAAACTGTTATTCTGGATCAGTGGAAACTTAAGCCACATGCAGAGTCTGAAGAAAAAGCCCCAAACTTTCGACTTCTAATTCTCCAACCCAGAGTATTAGGGTAACTCATAGAGTCCAATGTCAGTGTCTGAGGCTTGCAACAGCAAAACATTTGGGGTAAAGTATTTATGTATTTAGAATAAAATACAGAAAATTAGAAAGTCATTTGCAAAAAGTAGTGTTTGAGTTCATCCCATTTTCAAACCGGGGACTATGAACACACTTAGAAATACCAAGAATTCTTTAGCACATTCAGGGTAGAGAGAGATAAGTTTTTCTACTCAGTTCTAGCAGTCAAAGCTGCGAGTTCATAGCTTGTATTTAAATGCAAAAGTCTCCTATCTTGCTGTTTGTCCATTATATGCTCAATTTCAATCTAACTGCCATTTTCAAGTGTGTAAAACCAAATAATAAATAATTCTGTGAAAGACTTCAATTCTATGAAGTACCAACCTAGTCCTTGGTTTGGGGGTTTTTCACTCTATGTCTTCAATAAATATATATTTTATTAATCTAGAATATGAAGAACCTTTGTTTTATTTTTTGTCTCATACTTCTTGTGGAGGAATTTTCACATGCTACCTAACCTGAAGGCATAGGGGATAAGATACTTAAATTACAGTGACTAAATCAAAGTAAATTAACATTGGACCAATACTAGCACAGAATGTACTTAAACCCCAACAACTTTGGGAAGCATTTATAGAGACTACTGGGAGAGTAAAGAATTTGTAGAGAATACTGGTAAGAGACTTGACCTGAAGTCCCTTACAAAACTTGATGCCCATGAAATAGTGACAGTTTACTGTAAGGAACCAGCCAGGTATAGCAGAAGTCAGTCCTTTCCTTTTCTTACTCTTAGCTTAGCCTGACCTCTTCTCCTTAGATTGAACCCACTGCATTTTAGTTACAAAAGAAGGACATTTTGCCCAAGGGGAGCAGTTAAATGCAGTCAATACCTGTTCCATTTCCTAAGATATTCTTTAGGTCTCACAAAGAATAAAGTTTTACAATACATGGTTGAATTCAGAGAAAACTGTCTGGAAAGTCTGTGTGGCTAATGATCACCTCTTGATTTTCAGCTATCTTCAATTAAAATTACTGCAAATGACACATTAGGTGTCTTCTGCTACTCTCAGAAAATACTTGAGTTTAAAAAGCATAAAATTTTCCCCCTCCCAAAAAAGTGTCTCCTAAATCCCCATTATTCTGAAGAGTGCAGAAAAAATTAGAGAAAGTATGGTTTTTATCAATAATAATCTTGACCATTGTACTGTAGATTATGTCAGAAGGATGGGAAGAAACCATAAGAGATAATGTTGGGTTTCATCACTGGACAATGGGACTGTAGAATTCATGGATACTACTGTAACAGATAGAACTACTTTTTTTCTTCTTCTTTCATCTTCTATTATTTTTTGTCAAGTAAGGTGAAGGAAGAAATCAATGAAAACTGTGATGTGCAGACTCTGTCAACCCACAACTTCTGGTTGAAGAATATATGTCTGGAAGGCTTTTACTATCTGTAATCGTACTAGTTAGATAATACAATAAACAGTGGGTCAGAAAAGATATGACAAATGTCCCAGTGTCCAGAAACTGGTCAGGGAGTGCTGCTGTGGAGGCTGCCTGCTCAATAAGCAAGGACAGCTTTGTGTTCTCAACTCCAGTTGAATAGTCTTATTCAAAAGATGAACTACAGTTTTCTTATAGGAAAAATACTGTGAATGAATACCCACATACTGCATTTCCAGTGGTGTTTCTTGACTACTGAAAAGAATAGTATTATAGTCACTGACTTATCATCTATATTGCCTTGTTATATGTACCAATAACATCATTTGTAGTCTGTTCATAAGACTAAAGCGTTTGCTAATTGTATGTGTTAATCTGTCAGCTATTTGTTTGGACAGACCCTCAAGCATAATAAGAAATAATATATGAAATCTTCCTTGCCTGAACCAGAGAGCAAGAATACTGAAATGTGTTCTCATTAAACACTTGTGTTCATTTAAATAAGCCAAAGTGTTTGTTTTTCATGAAAAGAATAAAGCAATGAAAATAGCCATGACATGTTTAAAATGAGCCTTAGTGGCATCAAGTACAGCAGGTGCCCTTAAAAATTACAGTCTCCTTGATGTTCAATTGATTTAAATAGACTAGGAAATACAATAATAACACAGGTGTGTGTAGTGAAACACAAAAGGCATAGAGTATTTTTATACAGTTTGGACAGACAAAGTTCTCTATTAGCATAAAAATATCGGCAGCATATTACTAATATTACCATGTACATTTGGCATAATGCATTGCCTTCATGCTGACACTTTCAGTGCGTCAAATACTACTGTCTTTCCAAACAAAAGAATGTCTTCAATTCCAATTAAAAATTATATATTAGGCTACAATGAACCTGTAATTCAATTCTGAATGCAAATTTTACTTTAATTATTTAATCTCCATGGACAACTGTTACCTAGAACATTGTGAAACAAATGTCAATCACTGCCCTAATGGAAAGTGACTGTTTGAAAGCACTGAATGATGATAAAAACATTCATTTGTTCTTACAGTCCATGTTTAATGCAAATGTAATGAAGTCATTTGTGAAAATCATAATTTGTGGTCTGCTAGGATCAGGTCTTTCCCACATTAAAATACAGCCCTCAAAAGAATATGGAAATGGGCTCAAATACAGTGTACTTTCTTCTGTGAAGATTCTTAACTAAAGCAAGCAATGATAAAAGAGAAGCTACCTTTTCTGAAAGTTATAATAATCAAAGCCAATCACCAGCATACCAGTTGTACACATATGTGGGATGTGGCTGAGTGAAGGTGTTGTTAGTGCTGTGTTAACAGTTGGACTCAATGATCTGAAGGTCTTTTCAATCTATGATTCTATGGCAGGATTTCAGCACAAGCTGGATCAGGTTCAATTTTTGGAACACCATGAATTTCTAAAGGAGCTTGCCCATATTGGTTTCTCATAAAACAGGGAATGCATAGGTTGTATTTTATTATTGCATTAATGTGACAGAACATTCTGCATAGGAAATTTTGCATATCTGAAAGACAGCAATAAGGAAGGCTGACTTCAGGATGAGTGAGGTAATCTGAATGAGGTAAGATGAGTGACATAGCCCACAGGAAAAATTTTAAAGAACAGGATTAGTAGGCCTTTTGTAAGGATCAAGTTTTGATCCCAACTGAGACCAGGTTCATTGTTCTTATGGACTGTACTGATATGCCACTGCAGTTGATAATTTTTCCCCTTCCCTGTTTTTACATGATGCCTAAATAGTTTTTTCATTGAGAAAATAAGTGCTGTTTATGGATGTGGAGGAGATTAATCACAAGGATATATGACGTTGATCTCTTCTTTAGTCTTTGCTGGATGGGTATGTATGTACGTGCCATCCTAGCAATAACTTCTGGTTTCCATTTTATACAGAAAATTTTTATATAGGAAAATTCCTTTGTTACTCTGAGAAGCAGTACAGTTTATGTGACAGTGTATACATCATCTGTTCATTTTACATAAAAATTATATTCCAGATGTAATTACTCAACCTTATATGTCACATTAACATTTGACTAGAGATTAAAATCTGCAGAAATTAGAATATCAATATAAGGTTACCTTGCAGACAAAATGTGCCCACCAACAATAAACTGTGTTGCTAAAGGTAAGTTTTGAGTCCAGTAGTTAGCAAGTTCACTGAAGAACACCAAACCAGTCCTGTCTCCATGGACCATATTTCTTAGTTTAGAATGTTACATTGTATAAACAGAAAATTCATACAATGAATGAATTATATGTGCATCTTGGTCTTGCAAGGACACGAGTTCACTTTACTAGGTGCAGAAATTAAATTTGTGTAGTAATGAATTAATGAATTCAACAGTATTTTAGCTATATAGTGTCTATATTAAATGCAATTAGGAACAACTAGCAGGTTTTATACATTTCTGTCCCCTTCAAAAGCTGTGTGATTTCCCATCATCTGTCAGATTAAACATTACAGGATCTAGTGAGATGTCCTTCCAGCTGAGGACAGCTGAGGACTACTGGTTCAGTTCCTCAACAGGAAACTTCTTGTGGGCACATAAGTTGCTGTGCACGTTGTCAGCTGTTTGGGTTTGATTACTTCCAGCAGCAGAGGAAAGATGGAAAATCAAAGCTATTCAAAAGCTTGGGTCTGTCAGTATAACAGACTGTTTTTTGAAAACAGAATGTTTTTTGAGAACAGGACAGTGGATTAGAATATTGTTTATTTTATAGAGAGCAATGAGCTACTAAATT